CGCGGTAAATGTTTGCTCTTTCTACTGTGTAGTCAAGATGGCGGACAACTCGATATCTGCTACACATAATTCATGCTCGAAAGGGTCAAATGACCATCCTTCGGTAAGTGTACGGCATCTCTTAAATGATGTCGGAAAGACTTTACGGTGAACAAGGGGAAAACATACCAAGGTGCATTTGGTACACACTTAGTATTGAAGAGCTTATACTTGTATCAGTTTTGATGATCCGCATGTTTTATTTGAACTTGGTTACTACGCATATTTGATACCTGTGTTCTTAGAGCTTCGTGCCTGGAAGATTCCTTGTAATATCTAGATTACAGGAACTGCTAGGGGCCAGGCTAATGAATAAGTACTCTAACACTTGATCACTGCCAAGAGAGACCTGCGGGCGGTGGAAGGAGTCAATGAAGGTCAAGGCAGTCAGTGAGCTAAGGACAGATGAGACTACGGTGGTCTACAAGGAACATTAGTAGCAAAAAGACGATGCAGAGCTTCGCGCAGACTAGTGCTTGAAGGCTCGGAACTTAGAAAACCTAAGGAGAAGAGGAATAAGAGCTGCCTTGAGCGGTTGGAAATTCATCTTATTAGGCTGGGCTTGCATCTTGTGGTACCTTAGGTACTTCGGCGTTAACTGGACTACTTGTTGCTCTTTGCCGTCACATGGGATGTACATATATTCTACACTGCTTTGTGATCGATGGAGTAACTCCTTGTTGAGTTTTCTTCACCTAATTGTCCATTTTCCTGCCATTATTTCTTTCGCTGTATTCCCAACTTAACAGAAGACAAAGCCCTGCCTTACCCGCCTCATGATGGAGGCTCAGATCGTTCGGTTATGGGTACAGTACAACATCCCTCGCATCGAAGACGGGAACAACTTCGGAGTGGGCATCCAAGAAGAAGTGCTATCCGAAGCATCCAGCATCGAACGAGATGCGTGTACCTTCCTCGATCAGATCACTAGGTTAGTGACCAGTTTTATGTGATATTGGTTTGCGCCTGATGTTCTTGCTTGATCTTCTGAATCACTCTTCCTAGCAAAAGATGCGCATTGAGAAACACTGTGTATTCCTATGGGATCAATTTATCATCGAATGGTTTTTGTTCACAGGCAGTCAACGAGATATGTGCTGCTCTGTCCTCTGAGCCTGGATGTATATTATGCGTCAGAATTAGTTTCTACATCAGTGTACCTCAGCGCTCCATGAGCACTGCAATATTTCGTTTAGCATCTTGAGCGCGCTGTTTTATCAGCCGCTTATCAGTAGTCTCTCTTGCGTGCATCAACAGGGGCGGACGAGCTATCGTCACTGTGTGGTGTAGAAACTAGCTTTGGACCAGATACGCGATCTGTCACAGAAAAGTGCTGTTGGCTAATCAGTTCTGACTATACATACAACCCGTACAGAAAACCATTGGTTAGAAAATTATAATATATTCTTACAGTACAAATCTAAAAGAAATTCTATAACTTACAAAGCTGAAATCATGGCTGGGTTAGAAAAGTATGGGTAGTGAGTCAAAACAATGCACTGAGGTAGTGGAATTGCCTAGCCGAAACTCTGCGACCGAACAACACGTGATCACATTCCAGATGCGTGCCCTAAAGCACTTGACAATTGACGCTGGAGCCTCACCACTTGATACATGATGCGAAGCGATCTGCTTGGGCCCATCCCCAACAATCTATCGGAAGAAGCCAAGTGACACACCAACGTTCGTTGCACGCGAAGGCACCGTTGCCGGTCATTGGTGCACGGTTGCGACACGCACTCACCATTGTCCATTCGTTCCTAGTTTAGGCGTGTGCATCCCGCCTACCTGAACTCACGAAGAACTCATACGGTCTACTCGCACTTTCACATCCACCTCCATTTCATGAGCTAATGTTAATGTCTAACAGTGTGCGGAATTCGACGCTATCGAGGTTGCAATCAGTTGAAGCATGGCTTGTAACTACGGTAGGTCATCATCTAGTGCAGTCCAGTGCTTTGACAATGTTTGTAACTATCAGGGAATTGCAGATGGACGGTCGTTTAGGGGAATCCAGTGTCCCAACGTTGATTTAATCCTGTAGTTGAGATTGCTAACACTTCGTACCTGGCCTCTGATTACTGTCACAGTGACTGGATGCTTGTAGTTAACAAGCGGAGGGCAGATTCGACGTTAGTTCGACAACCGCGTGAGTGCACTACTCACTTGTAAACTCATCCATTATCCAGTGCGCGTTGTAATGTGCAGCCTGTTTGGCCTATCTGTCTTTGGCATCATCCGGGAAACGGGCTGAAGTGCTGATAGTGGATTATTTACCACTTGGGTTTGTTGGGTACCCCGGTCGGCATACATGCAGGTGGCCATGCTTCAACTGAACCCTAGCTACCACCAATTAAATTGCAGGCTATAGGGCAGTAATTGGAATATGGCCAAATGCGAGGGAAACAGGTGAAAAAGAAGGTAGCAAGGTATCCGTATCAGCCATGATACTTTCTGGGGCGCCAAACTTTCAACTTCAGTAAATTACTCCATCTAATCAACCGTGCCCTCGGTCCCTAATTTTAGTGAACATAGTCGTCTTAATTTGTCTCAGCATCATGATAAGAATCAAACACGGTGAATAATGTTTACGGCTATTCATATCGTGAGTATTGGAAAACTACGCACTTCATAAGTGTTTGTGCTATTTTTCTGGAAAGTGACCTCTTAATCGGCTACTTCAAAACAACTTTTATTGAAGATGATGCTGTTACGAAGTCATTGATGCTTTTGCATTCGCCATGTTGTTTTCGATCCTAAGTTGCTCTATAACTTTGACTTTTTCCTGTATATTTTC